GTTGACTATGGCCGATCCCTTTCCATTGGGAAGAGAGAGCTTTACTGGATATCCAATGTCATCATTGTCAATGTCCATAAAGTTTTAGGAAGTTGATCTTAGCAAATAGATAAGATCATTAAGGGTCTTGTCATAGTCTGTTTCATAGGAGTCCCAAAGGAACTCACTATGTGACTTAGAAAGTGATTGATCATCAGCTTCCTCTAGACTTTGACACCCAACTCTCCCGGCTTGTCAATATGTGACTACATCTCCAAGATGTGATCACACATAGACCTTTGCTTGCCAATAGGGCTTGAGTGACCTTAAACTTTTCAGGAACTTGTGGGTTAGGGAGAATAATTGGAGGAGGTGAAAGAAGTATGATTTCCATGGACATCATCTTCATTTAGGAAAACTTGTTTCAAGAGATTTGGGAAGATCATCTTTGGGAGATATTCAAGATAGTTGATTTAAAGTCCTTAATATAACACCCAATATGAAATATTAAGGCTAGGACCCAACAACCTATTTATAACTGGAAGAGGGATGCCGTAATCCAAGTTATAAAATAGTTGAAGGTAGGTAAATGACGATTTACCAATTTCCACCATGAAAAACGAAATATAATTAAGTTTTAATTGGATTTGAAACTCCTAGATCTTTTGAGATACATTGAACTTTCAATGGCATGTTTGAATCTCGATTGTGCCCTCTCAAGTTTGTGACTGGGATGCCGAGGATCACAAACAAGGTGTGAATAACCATACAAATTGACTTGGTACCCTCAACAATATTACCTAATCGATGTGCCGGTTAACCACACACGCTCCACCGATCTATAATAAAGTTAAGTTACCCTTTGCCACTCTTACTAGTCCATGTTAGTGTGCCGGTTAACCACACACGCTCCACTAACGACTTGGTAAGGTACAAAGTGTAATTTTATGGGCTAGCACCAAATTCACATTTTCCTAAGTAACTAAGATTGGGAATTTATAAATGTTTAGTTACTTAGTATTTATCATTAATACTTTTAATGAAGGGAGAATTATAGTCCTTGTCCTACCCGTTCGGCTAACGACCCTCCACCAGTCAAGGAAGCGGTGGGTGAGAGTGGACACCCATTAAACTGCCATTTTATAGGCAGTAACCTTATACCCCCCTTATAGACCGGCTTCGTGAATGAGGCCTACTAACGGTAAGATTGACTTTATCTTATACATATCTATATAATTAAAATTATAATAATAGTATGGGGTTTGAATTTTAACTTTTAAAATTCTAAGGGCTAACTTGGAATTAAAGTATTCATAAGAGAAAACTTTTCAAATTCCAAAACTTGAGGGCAAGTTTTGAAACTATTCAAAACTAATTAATTCCATAACTTATGTGTTTAAATTAGTTTTAATTAAAAAACTCTTCAAGTTCCATAACTTGAGGACAAGTTATGGAAGACTTTAAACTAATAAAAGAATGTAACTTTTCTTTATTTTGTAATTTATGGAATTAATTAAGGTTACACATTTTATTACTTAATGAAGTGACTCTTGAACCTCCATAACTTGAGGACAAGACTCTTCATTTTTGTAACCATTACCAACTTTTATGAGTTTTATGAAACTTAAATGTGACTTTTCATATAACTTGAGGACAAGTTACCAAAACACATTTTAGAATCAACTCTTAGATTAAAATGGATTGAAAACACATAATCAATTAACTTTTCTATTAATCTAAGCAACTCATAAGAACAAGATAATTCAAATCAAACTTTTTCATGTAATTAGCCTAATCACTAAACTAATACAAAACATGAATCTATTGACAATTATCTTTGAAATTGGATTAGTATGAACATTACCACATCAAAAACAAGTTTATAAGTTCAAAAACATCTTAGGGTAATGTTTCTAGTCCATTTCTAGCCAAAAAACTCGAAAATATGTTGTCTGGGGGTCCAACTCGCCGAGTGCATGAACCAACTCGGCGAGTTGGATCGTTTTGATCACTTTTTAGGCATGGACTCGCCGAGTCTCCTGATGGACTCGCCGAGTCTGATGATCAGACAGCAAACAGCTTCGATTTTTTTAAGCAGTTTTGCAAGTATAACAAGAAAACAAGCCTAGGCTCTGATACCACTGTTGGGTTTTGAGCATTCTAACACTCCTAATTGTACATGCAACCCTAAATACCTTGGATCTATGTTTTCTCTATTATACATGCAAATATGATTATCCAAGGTATTATCCTAACTAGCATACCAAAACATTGATACTAGGATAATAAAATAGATAGAATACATACCTTGTTGTTGTTGCTTGACTCCATGAAGCTTGAGAGCCTAGTGCCCCAAGTGTGACACCTCAAATGGTTCACACAACATCATGAACTCTTGGAATAACCATGAGAAGAAGACATACATGTTCAAATTGGCTAGCCCTCAAAATATGTATCACTAGTGCCAATTTCTTGAACTAAAGGGGTTCTTATATAGTGTGGCTATTAGGGTTACACCATGTAACTCATGACTTTACCCATTCCTTATGCTCCATGGGTTTTAACCTCCATGGAGTATCCATGGATCACCACATGGGTTAAACCCAACATAAAGGAATCTTGGATCATAAGCCCATATATATAAGAATGAATGATTTACACAATCAATCCCCATATATTTAATTAGTCTCTTTTTGATCACTAAATTAAGTCCAAATTAATTCTTGATCAATACTAATTAAATAACATGATTTCATATTAATATATTAGAACTTATAATATATTAATATGTCACAAAATGTCTTTTCCTCATAAACGGTCTATCCAAATGTTCCGATGCCATGCAACCCAAATGGACCATGCCAAGTCGGGTCAAGTACATACCAATTATAGTTATGGACTTAGACACTAATCCAACAATTATGACCTTAATAAAACAAACATGTTTTAAGGTAATCAGTACGTCAGAATGTCAATTCAAAAGACAACTGTGTACTTACATTTTCCCATTACTTTCATATTGTGACAGTTCCACTTGAAAGTTAATGCAAACTATTTTCGAGTTAAGATAGTTATAAACTAGAGAAAACTTACATCTTTTCAAACTACAAACAGAACAGTCGAGTCTAGTACATTCAGTAGAAAGGGGCCTATAATCCTAACTTTATGATTCCTTAGTTTATACATCAGGAATATATATTAATTGGATTCGATAGGTAATAGGATGTGTGCTTTCCGCTTCATTTCCTGTTCCTTGTTTGGTTGTGGGCTTACAGCAGATTCACCCAGCCTACTATCTATCCGATCTTAGCTAAATATATGTTTCGTATACACCCAAGTAATCATAAGGGGTACCAGGTATGGGCCAGGTCATAGGACACTAATTCAATGCATCGTTTTCTAGTACAAAACATACTTTTCAAATAGAACATTTGTTATTTAAAACTAGAAACTTACCAGTAAAGGGTTTAATCCATTTTATTAAACCAGTATAAACTTAAAGGACCTTAGGTGATTAATTCTATAATACCGTAGTTTATACATCAGGGTTATATATAATTAATACCCGATAGGTAGTTGGATATGTGCTTTCCGCCTCATTTCCTGTTCCTTGTTTGGTTGTGGGCTTAGGGCAAATTCACACAATTAACTATCTGTTCGATATTAGATTATATATAGCTAGCATAAACTAAGTGATTATAGAAGGAACCACTGTGGTTACCATTTTTACTAAAAGAAATAAGGGTTTTCTTAAAGAATCTTTTCATCAAATATAAAGGAACTATTACAGTTAACTCCGTGAGTACCAAGTGAATACGCCAGGGTTATATACAACGATGATCTAACAAACAATGGCATGTGTGCCTTCCACCTCATTTCATGTTCCTTGTTTGGTTGTGGACTTAGGGCATATACACACAACCGATTGTTTGTTTACTCTGGGTTTTATATAATTTGTATCCATTTAGTACTCATAGAAAGGATTGTAGAGTCATTTTTACTTATCTTTCATCAAAGCAGGAAATATAGGATTTTCTGGAGGAACAGACGAACTTTTCTAAATAGAACTTACAACTTACTACAACTTTCTTACAACTTTCTTACAACTTACTTACATCACTAAAATCTTATGAACTCACCAGCTTAAATGCTGGTCTACTCTTTCAAAAAATAACTTGTATTCTCAGGAGACCAGTAGACAGGTGCGCGCACTGGGATTCAGAAGATGGAGCAGTATAGCTTCATGTCTTGTTTTGTTATTTACTTTGTAGTCTATGTTATGTGAACCACATACTTTGTAAACACTTTCTTTCTAATGAAATGGTTGTTTATTACCTTGATTACTATGATGCATGTCTTGTGATACTAAACATGACGTCCTCCACCCTAGAACGTTTCCCCCGTTCCGGTTTTGGGGTGTGACAATATCGCTTTTCCCATTAAGGCAAAAAAGAACGAACACTACTAGAAAAACAGCCTTTTACGACGCGCAATGCGTGTCGTAAAACGCTCAGACGACGCACAAATGCGTGTCAAGAAAGGCCCTGTCATAACGAGAGACGACACGCAGTTACGACACGCATTTACGACGCTCATTTACGACACGCAATGCGTATCAAGAAAGGCCCTGTCATAAACGAAGACGACATGCATTTGCGTGTCGTAACCTTACGACGCACGTTTAGGACACGCATTGCGTATCATTATAACCCCTGTCATAAATGAAGATGACACACATTTGCGTGCCATAAACTTCAGCAACCATTTACAATATGCATATACAACGTGCCTTTACGATACTCTTTTACGCATAATACAAAAATATAGAAAAAAAATATATACCAAAACAATAAATTTCATCCAATAACATCATGTCAAAAAATTGTAATACATTGATATTAAAGGGATCTAATTGTACATGGTTATTAAGAGGTTTTCCCTAACTATATAACTAATACTACATTACTATAAAGGGGCACCTTCTTGTTTCACATATCATGTCAAAAAAATCCTCCATATCATTAGTTTGTCATGACCTGGTGTACTGTACTGGGCTGCTGTCCACCGGAAAGAGCATCCCAGACTCCATCACTTGAAATTACAAGCCGCCTACCAGCAGAAGATGGCTGAAGATCATGAATAAATAAAAGTTGTTAATAAAAAGAGAAATAAATTGAGTTTAATTACAAAACTAACCTTCACTTGTTTGACATGAGGAACTGGAATAATGAACTCCCCAACATCTCTATCTCCAATAGATCTTGAAAGTCTTAACCCACCTCGCTAACATTTTAAAGTACCAATCTATCATAAATATAAACCATCATACCATAATACACACATATTTTTAAATCTCTTATTTATTTCATTCAAATTTAACATACCAGTGATCCAATAGCCACTAATGCTCGGTATTTCGCATCAACTTCTGAAGTCTCCCCTTCTGCAATCTGTAGGAAAAAAAAACATTTTACAAATTTGCCCTTGTTAATTTTCTAATTTAAGTATTAAAAAAAGGTTTATGTGTATGTTACCTCTAAAGCTGCTGAAAGAACATGAGATTGACCTTCTTCATCCTTCTTTTCAATCAATAACACGGCAGAACTATAACGCTCAAAATAAGTGGATCATCCATTTAGTTCAGATAATGATTTATTACCTCTGCATCTTAATTCTTTACAACTTGAAGCAAAAAAAAATGATATCTTTCCATCAAAATAAGATTCTCCTTGTCCTTTTTCCCCCACACCTACATATTCAAAGTAACCAACTTTTTAATTGAATTACAAAAATGGTCCCTATGCTTTCTGATCTTTAACATGTTTAATCCAAAATTGAAACTTTTTTAATCTAAAATCAAGATCTTAGGTACAAACTAAATGTAGTGTAAAAGTGCTTACTCTTTCTATATCATCAGGAATTAGAACAACAACTTCTTGAACAAGTACCACATCAAGGGTTTTGTGATGCTTTTTAGGGCAATCAGTTAGAGTAATCAGTCTTGAATCAAAGTAAACCTTTTTAGGGTCAAGCAGATTAACCATTTTAAGAGCATAAAATAGTTATTCCTTGCTGTAAATGGATTAAACCAAGAGCATAAAGTGCAGCCCCTTCTGAATAGGGACTACCACCTCCACCACCACCACCCGCCCCACTTTGTGGAAGGTAAGGTGCCATTAGTGATCTTCCTTACTGTAAATGGCCTCCATGGATAACACCTAGTCCACCTGTCGCGCTGAACTTAGCCCAAGTTGTCGCCCTGCTTAGCCAATCCTGAAATCGTATCCAAACATAAAACATTTACAAATTGCTCATAAATCTTGCTACAAATATAAGCAACGGATGTTCTTTTTAGGGATTGCATTATTGCTATTATGAGTAAAGATTTGTAAGTCAGTTACAAATATGTGTAAAGAAAATGTACATACATTGCTATTATAGTAGTAAAATGATGAATTATGTAGATATGATATAGTGAAATTACCAGATTCTCCCTCAAGAATGTATCCACTGTTGTTCCAGCATGCATAAGTGTATTAGCGTATATAGTTGCACTGTGGCAAACACCGTTTCTCAGATGGATCTGTTTCAGGTACACTAGGGGTAGGCTAATGATCGGACATCACGAGTTACATACGGGAAAATCTAACTGCTTAAGAAGCATTACAGCCTCCGCTCTTTCTTGTATTCATTCAGATTCAGAAGAAACCTTATCCTAAAAGACATATATGCGAAACGACTATATAAGGATCTGAATAATATTATCAGAAATAAATTAACCATGAATATACATGAAGCTTGCTAATGATAACTGGAATTACTTCTTCAGATGCTTTCTTACAATCCTGCAATGAGGAGTCCCTATATGCCTGGTGAAAGTTCAACATACAGAGCAAAAAGATAAATGAATTGCATGGGTTTATAAGCATCTGATATGAAAAAACACAAAAGAATGAAAAGTTGATCAAATAACCTTAAATATTGGCATGGCTCCAGTGTAGAACCTCACTACATCACCATATGCTTCAGATTTGATGCATTTTCCATATGCTTTAGATTTGATGCTTTGGTTCTTATGGCACTCCCATCGGTGAACCTCATTTCTCTGTCTCTCCTTCCACACTTAATGTTTTAGGGAAAAATATCAGATTTTTAATAGTGAGATCAAATCGTAAATATTAAAATTTAGTGTAATGAAAGTATGAAACATGGTAAAAGCTATGTAAATTTAATACCTTTAGAAATAAGCCATCAGTTTTCTGCATGAAGTTAACTTTATGTATAGCTGAAACTCTTTTTCTACCATGAGCTTTAGAATAATGAAAAGCATATTCAGCCACTCTCAAACTTGCATGACGTGTTATGATTTTAAGACTTTCAACAACTCCCCTGACAACCTGTAGAAAGATCAGAATTAGCATAACATTGATTTGAATGTATCATGTATGATATGAATGATGAATCTATATGAAGATGATATAAACTTACTTGATGTTCAAGACCACTGTATTCTCCTTCTGTGTTTTGACGGATTGTGATGAGATTCACATCATCATATCGAGTTTTGTAACCAGGTAGACTGTAACATGGTCTGACGTTTGCATACAGGTTTAGTTCTATTCTTAAAGTGAGATTCAAGGAACGATGACCTTTTCCAATTGGTGTAGCCATGGGTCCTTTTAATCCAACCTTGTTTCTTCTTACAGATTCTAGACTTTCCCATGTGACAAAGCTTTGGGTTATGGGATCTACTTCTGTCCCTCCGTTATGTTCTTCCCATTCAATTGGGACTTCTGCAGCATTAAATATCTGCATAATGAGAAAAGCAAATTCAACATACATACATAATTTGATTAGCGATTACTATTTTAAATTGAATATATACCAACTAAACAGAAGAATTATAATACGAAATTCTTAAACCCCAAACTATGCAACAAAAACCTAAAAATGAAAGAAAACAACAGCATAAGAATAACAAAACTGTGTTAAACAAACAAGGATCAGGTTTTAGCAATATATTGAGTATAAAGAAGGCGGAATTGAACCTGTTTGACAAAGGTTGCGATCTCGGGACCAATACCGTCGCCGGGGAAGAGAGTGGCGCGAATGAGATCGGAGGAGCTAGAAGAATAGCTCCGATCCGTCGGCGAGAAGAGCCTGTTGGTAGGGTTCCTGAAGGTGGTTGTGAATACCTCATCTGTTGTGTGGATTCGGAGGAAACGTCTCGCAATCTGCAAAGCCATGGTTAACGACTTGCTGAAAGGAAACGCCAAGTGAAACGCCAGTTCCAAAGAAATCGAAAAAAGTCAAAAAAAACGCTAGTTCCAGAGAAGCGGAAGCGTGGAAGAAAATAAAACCCTAGCACGTGCTAGAGAGAAGGGAGGTGGCGACGGCTTAGGGTTTACAGGGAGACGGGAGGTAGAAAATGAAGGGAGATCTAGAGGAGAGAGTATCAGAGAGGAGAGTCGATTGCGAAGATGAAAGATAGATAAAATGTAGAAAGAACGAGGCGGGTTTTCAAAATTTTAGGGATTTCGTTTCCCCCCTTGTCTATTAAACGCGCGTTTCATTAAAATTATAAAGCGACAGGTACAGACGACGTGCGTTTAAGATAAGCGCCCTCCGTGTTTTTAATTTTTTTTCTTAAGACACTAAATTAAGGGCACGCAATAATGCGTGACGTAAATCCTTAAAATTTTTGAAGAGATGACGCTATTTTAAGGACGCTCTCTTTTGCGTAACATAAATCAGTGCGTGTCGTAAATTGCGCATCGTAAAAGGCTGTTTTTCTAGTAGTGGAATAAACTTTGACTTATATGCTTGCACCATTTACACATCAAATCATGCATGACAATATGTTTTATAACATCAAGTTACCGATGCATTTACATATTATCAATGTACAAACGATTTGTAAACTACAACTCATATATCTCTGTTTTAAGATTATAAGATATTATCATCTCAGAATTACTCGTGAAAAAATCCATGAAGTAATTCTCTGAGCGTGGGTTTATCTAATACTGAAATCTGAGATCTAGTAAGCAAGGAAAGGAAAGGCATGAGCTTGAGGACTTACAAAGGTCCCAAAGCTCCAGAACTAGCTGATGAAGCAACCAAGAAGCTAACAAATGCACTACCAATGATCTTCTTCTTCCTCAAAGGGCTTCAAAGCTTCAAAATCTCTTGAATAACACCAAAAATGACCAAGGCTTCAATGGGGGCTGAGATTAGGGTTTCCAGAGGTCTTGGAAGTGAAAGAGGCCGAGGATAAGCAACCCTAATCATCTCATACCTTTAAATACTCGAAACTTAGGGTTTTGGTGCATCAGATGCTCCTCACATCGTGATCACTTCATGCTCACGCCGTGAGCCTTAAATGAGCTTGGTCAACAACTCAACGGTCACACACCCGAACTACTCCAACTTCAAACGACCATAACTTCTTCGTTTCAACTCCGTTTTTGGCGTTATTTATATGCACGAAAAGGTGGCGAGAAGATCTACACATCTACCAACTTATCCTCACCTCAAAACCTTCCGAACGAAAATCCAAAATTCATAAAGAGTTCGAACTGCCACTTTACCGATATACCCCTTGGCTCCAAGACACAACCCAAACTCCCGGATCACCTCAATTACATTATCCGTACCTAAATGGGTCTAGACCTCTATTTTCTAAAGGCCCTAAGCCTTACGATAACCTATCTTCAGGCCACAGTCCCGAATTAGGAAAGTGATTCGGAACAGGGCGTTACAGCTTCAGTAAGGGTCATATGATAGCTTCGACCATTGGGCGTTGGTGGCATGATCATTGGGATTGGTTTCTAAACCTTTGGGAATTCTGCCTTCATGTGTCCCTTCTCTCCACAATTAAAGCAAAATTTTCCGTTGACTGGGTAATTTGTAGAAATATGCTCGGGCTTCTTGCACTTAAAGCATACGACGCACTCGCTGAAAAGCTTCTTCTTGCACTGGGTACACCACTTCCCTTCTTGGTTGCTCCCAAACTTGTTGCTTGACTTCGAAAAATTCTTCTTCTTCTTGATGTTTTTGTTGTTGTTGCTTCCTCAGCCTCCCTCTTTTCACCAACCTAAGTCCTGTTGGCAACTCTTTTCTTCATCATACCTTCCATAGATTTTGCAGCCCAAACGGATGCCTCAAAAGTAGGTTCTTGCTTTACTGGCACAGTGTAGTCCCATGGAAATCCCTTTGCATACAGATCAATCTTGGCCAGTTCATCCGGAACAAGTCACAGGGCGAACTCCATTTTATCAATGAAAGGATTGGTGTACTCGTCCACTGACATACTTCCCTTCGATAAAGCCAAGAATTGATTCTCCAATTCCATCATCTTCTCGGCTGAATAGAACTTCCTCTTGAAATGGGGCAAAAATTCGTCCCATGTCATATGTAGTAGTTTGCTAGGGCTCACAATCTTCCCTAATGTGTACCACCAATGAAGCGTTGTGCCTTTGAATTGCCTCACATCATAGGTGGTTAGTAGCTACCCTGTACAACCACATGTGATGAACACCATCTCCATCTCCGAGATCCAGTCCATTACTCCTATGAGATCTTCCTTCCCATTAAATGAGGACGACTTGCAATTTCTGAAGTCCTTATACTTGCAATATCCTCTTGGTTCATCATTTCTCTGGACCTCTGGCTTCTCTGGTCCTTGATGACTTTCCAAGTCATAAATTTTTTCCTGGATCATATCTGGATGAGAAGGAATTGGTGCGTTGTTGACTTTTTCAACAACCATTGGCTCATTGATCACATGCGCTCCTCCTCTACCATTAGCTAGTTCATGAGCTAAGAGCTCCCTAAAGTCACGTCGCTGCTGATCGAGCATTAATTGCATCATTGACCGAGCTTCCTTCATCGGGATTTCAACGACAGCTGCTCCGACGTTCTGCGATGTTTGACCTCCTTCGTTATTGACGACTCTTCCACTCCTAGTGATCGTCATGTCGTTCTATAGTCATAGAGGCGGGAAGTTTTAGGATAGCGATATACTACTTATATATATATATATATATATATATATATATATATATATATATATATACACTTAGCACATAATTAGCAGTTAAGGCATCTTCCTATATTATGCTACTACTAGGGTCTAAGACAACTAAGGCATCTATCCTAAAGTAATCTATCACACACCTCACATATCATACTTAGCTTCTAAGTTTAAGTCTAGAATTTTTCTAAATTCTTAGTTCGCTTAAACTAATGCTCTGATATCAACTGTGACATCCCCCATTTTTAGAACCAATTAAAACATTTTCTCTACTCTTTATAAATTGAGATGTAGAAACTCCTAGTTAAATAAAACATTTTTATGATAACAAAAGTTATTTTTTAAAAACCTTGAGGTTGTCATTCGTTCATATCCAAACATACATTACAACGTAAAATATAAAAGGTCCTGAACCTATATATTACAGGCACATCTCTTTATTCCACTCGACATCCTAACTAAACTATTACAGCCTTGGTTCCACTACCCATGATGCATAAAATGAGTGGATCAGTTTTGGAAAAACCTGGTGAGATACATAGGGTTATCAGGTCCATAATAATTTGTTGATATTAAATAATATCTTTTCTGCAAAACAATGCATTCAGATAATATATATAAAATCTGACCTAAGACCAACTACCTAGCCCAATCGACCCTCACATATATTAAAGCAACGATTATCTGGAGGAATCATCCAACCTGATGAATTGTTTTAGCAACTGTTTGACTACACCGCTAGGGGTGTCCATGGCCAGTGTAAGTCATATAAGGCAACCAATGTTTAGAGATTTGATAAATATGGTATCCCATTTTATCTAAGTCCATGGGTTATAAGTCCATGCTAACAACGTAATTCACTAGACCGCCTAGAATAGTCAAGTGTTGTCATCTACTCTGATCGATGACCCAGACATACTTGCTAGTTGTCTGATCTGGACCCACCCTTTTAGGTCATCCAAGAAAGAGGAGAAAGACTCTACTCTAATCTCACACACCCTACCCCAGTCATGAGATCTAATTGATATCCAGCCTAATCTCATCTAAGTAGTCTTTAAAAGTGTTATTCTTAACCTAGGGCAAGACTTATATTTAAAGGCAATCGATTTCCAATATTGTTTATAATTCAGTAGTATTATCCTAATCATACAAATAACATTTATCATAGATAATACACGCAAGCATTTAATGTCTCATATAAATAATACTTTTATTTTAGAATATGATCTTGACAGAAACTATGCACTCACCTGACAAAAGTGCCTGGTGATTGGTGAATCGGGCAGAGCTTCGCCTTACACCTTTTCCAAAAGACCTAGATGTACATAACGCTAAGTCTTATTCTAATTTCATACTTCATGGAACTATTATCCTAAGGGTTTAGATTCCTCAATAATACCAAAGTCTACTTCAATATCTAAATAAGGAAGAACCAGGTAGGGTCCATTTGGTATATAGAGTATACTGTTTGGAAATCCCACTTTAAACAACTCACTAAATCCAGCCTAAAAATCACTCACGTAAATAGATCAAGCAATATAACGACTGAGAATCATTGATAAATCTTACTTATAAGTTCCTAGTAATGACTTATAATTATAATTATAAATTACACAAAGGCTGAGTAAGTGTAGCTCACTAACAGAGTATTATAGATGAGAACCGGGAACTAAGCGGGCAGAATACTGACTCGGGATCTCCTACTCAAAGGCTACTACTCAAATGAGTACTCAGGGTTGTCACAGGGCTTTGGCGCAGGTTAAAAACAAAGGGAAAAGGTCTAAAAAGCTAAGATTGTTCGAGAGAGAATGTGTGTAGGGGTGTAGAGGTGAAAGCATATACGAAACGGAGTATTTATAGGTGAAAAATATATGCACACCATGCACCTTAGGCTTGTACGCCATGCACTAGGCTGACGTGGCTCCATCCAAGATTTGACATGTGTTCGATAACGGGTGGGGCTGCGTGGTTGCTTCTAGAACCCCGTTGCCCATCGTGCACGCACGACGTGTTTCAGATTTTCAAAATTATGTAACTTCTTCATACGAACTCCGATTTTGATGTTCTTTATATCCCCAGAAAGCTCTCGATGAGATTTAGAACTTTCATTTAGATTCTATCGGCTAGTTTTGAATTTATTTTTTCACACATGCTCAGACTGTTAAATCTCGTATAAAAAGCATAACTCTGTCATCCAATGTCCGTTTTCGACAGAATTTTTATCATTGATGTCCTATTAACGATATCTTCAACTCTCATTTAGATTATTTTAGATAATAGTCGACTGATATAAAAATTGATTTTTGAGCAGAATAATGTTTTGTCGAATCTTTGAAAAATCATAACTTCCTCTCACAAAGTCAGATTTTGACGTTTTCTATATGCACGCTCTCGGTTTAACGACTACTATGACTTTATTTTAGAACTCTTAGGTCTGAAAGCCAAAAGTTGCAACAACCAACACAGAGACACCCTAACTGACGACCCTTTTCTGACACCAATGCTGATTCAGTCCCTAGCGAGAAACATGTGAGCCAACGAAGAACAAGTGTCATCACAACGAACTAACATCAAAGAGAGTTGTTTCCTCATCTGAGTCTGAAAACTCCGAAACCATGCCTTACTTCTAGACAGACAGTGCCACCCGAACCTCAGCCACGTCGACTAGAACCTTGTAACATGAAATGACCACATTCTTCTTATCCCAATAGCCCCCAATTACTTGAAACACGAAAAACACACACTAAAACACCAAGAACACACACACACACACACACACTCAACTTTGAGTTTCTTTTTGGAGGGTGGATGATGAGAATGAACTGAAACCCTAATCATAAGGTTGTTTAAATATGGCTCAAGTCACCACCGCGTCGCGGTGAGGTCCTAACCGTGCCACCACTTAACGACATCTCCCATGGTGTGCTCTAGTCCTTACAACACCATGGTGTTTGGAAAATCCCTAAATTCCTAACTTGAAAAATAAACACTTGTACCTGGAAATGCGGTTGTTACATATTTGTATCATCTTCCTAATTAAATAGAGCTTTTCACGTCGTTAACTCTCTAACTCTAACTTGATACTCCATATTTTCCATAGCCACATTGATTAACTCTGAGATAACGACCTTTTTCATGTTGGCACATATTCTCATGGAGCTTGCTGCCACATCCTGATCATCTTCAAAGATCATAAATTCCCCGTATAAACTTCCAATTCTTTTAAACAAGGCAAACCCCACGCACATAGTGGTAATCCCACCACCTCCAACCTAACCATTCTCTCATCAATGACAAAGTTCTTTGTGACTGGATTAACTTTATTGAAAAAATGTGTAAGGCTAATATTCTTTTGGAAAGCACAACATGCATCGTTAGGAAAGTCAATCCATACCCACATTCCACCAACATGAAGAATTGACAACCCCATAAGACCTTCATTTAATCATATCATGTACATATTATGTATAGCTAAAACATCACGTTAGCAATCATAATCTTTGTTACCTCCGATACTAACTTCTTATTTGTCACTTTTACAATTGATTTCATTCCAATACCTCCCTTCTAGCAGCCATGGAAGCGTAAGATTGTTTATGGCTACTTGTAATATATCCTGGGCCCAACTTCTTTTGTTGTTGCATACTATTTTATTGTCTAACTCTTTGGAATCTAGCCACAAAAACAAAGTGATGGCAGTTTCTTATCCAAATAACAGATAATTATTGAGCCATAATAGCCTCATTATCCACCCAAGAAATTGGATGAACCTGAATCTCTTCCCCATCTTCGATTATTTTCGGGTTATGTATGCATCTACATTCTTCCTATACTTGGCACAGACCTGCCATAAGCCCTTAGAGTCCAACGATATTGGAAAGTTCGTAAAATAGAACATCGAAGAAAGGCATTCAACATCCTTACCATAAGGGTTCCCAATTGGTTTGCTTGTCTCGCAATGAAACCATCCACCCTTCACTTTACGAATGTTGTCTTCCACACATGTGTTTTTCTGTCTATTTTTTCATGTCCATTCTTCATCAAAATTCACTAATATTTTTTAATAGTTGTTGAAAATGTTACTCTTATAATGAAGATCGCATGTAATTACCCCCCCCCCCCCCCCCATCTTCTGGGGAAGCGGCAACCAAGGAAGTTAACGACGACAATCAAAAAGTCAACATCACCAATAGGGTGTTTGTTGCATAATGGTTTCACTTGACGAACCACAAATTATAAAGGAATACAAAATTTTCAACCAATAGGTGAAAAATGTATGTGTGTGTGTGTGTGAGAGAGAGAGAGAGAGAGAGAGAGAGATATATGATGTTATCACAACTAATCACTTGGACAATTTTTCAGGACTCGCTTTAGGTGTTAGAACATGCCGGAATTCTAACGATCGAGCCCAAACAAACTAACGAGACTCATATATTTGTCATGACCTATGATGTTTTTCAGCTATTCAAGATTGTTAATGTGACGAAATTGATGTTTGACTTGACCAATTTCCAATTTTATATTGCTTAAATTTTCTTACATTGCGATATGCTTTCCAAATCAATTTCAAATTCTAGATTATGTTATTCTTTTACCATAAGGGTTCGTTTTGTTTTTCCTATGTAAGATCTTTAACGTTTCTTATAAAAACGAACCTTAATTGAATTCTTTTAATCATTCTTTGAGATAAATCAGGTTATTTTGATTTGTCGATCGTCGTTTTATAATTATTTATTTGAAAGTAATATATAAATAAAACGTTTTGTTGTTTGGGACAAAGGTGGCCGTTCCCTATGATCCTAAAATATATAACAGGACACATACATATATACACAAACTTGTATGTCAAGATTCTTTTTTCGTTGATTCCAAAACAGTCGTTCATGATATTGTCGCCAGGAACCTCGTGATGTTCATTTATTCTCTGTTTGTCTCCGATGGATGAATAGTAACCCATCTTTTTCATTACCAAATCTAGAAGAGAAGGTGGGCCCCGTCGTCACAATCATGATTTTACAACCTGCCCTTCTCTCTACCCTCCCTTCTACGTAATACTTTTCGTATATTGTATCCATCCCCCTTACTATGCTCTACTTGCCATTTTTAACCTTGTCCTTTAACCAAAAGAAATTGTTCCAACTGTTCGACGTAAAAAAAAAAAAATAACTTCAATACATTCCCTAATTTACTTTGAACTATACTTTTCTTCTTTTTTTTTTAAATGGGATTTGAAATTGACTGAAACACAATTTTCTAACAACATGTGATTATGTAACACTATATACCAAAACATAAAAAAGTTAGTATATCTTGTCAAGAACAAATTGAGACCATTTTAATTGTTTGATGTCTTAAAAACATAATTATTGCTTTCTTTTCATTGTTTATCATTTGTTATTATAAGGTATCATTAAGGATTTGGCAATATTATTGCATTTTACAGATACGTGTATGTATCTTATTAAAAGTATTATTTTCTAATAGTCTCATTATGAATAAAGTTTTAGTTGAATTATAAGTAAAGTATTACCTTTTAAAGACATTAAGGATACCTTAACTGCTTTGCCTAGATTAAAATAATTTAGGAAAAAATATATTTTTATAGCAATCTAGTTTCACAAATTCAAAGTTTAGCTAGAATATAATCTTAAGAATGATATTTTGTAGTCATTATGATACTAAATACATCTATAACCTTAGCAAAATGGATAGATTTTGTAAATTAAAACCAATCGTAGGAATTTTATATGTGATTTATCTACCATCCATTTCACCATTCTTTCACCCAAAAAAAGTTTATATTCCTAATATATTTATTTTTTAACTTCTATAAATTTAAAACATCCCTTTACTTTATTAAATTTTTATAAAATTGTATAACATCTTTTTTGTTATAATGACATTATGAACTCTATTATTATAATTTAAATGTTCTAATAAATTCAAAACATAAAAATATCATAAAATATATTTTCATAAAGTATTTATTAGTATTAGAATATATAATTTTTAAATAAAGTCTAAACAATAGGCTTATATTTTCTATTTATGTTTAATTAATATCAGTTTGAATATATAACAATACATTACAAGTAATAGTTATAAGTTATTACATTTAATATAAAACTTGTCAACAAAATAATCAGAAATGTATGAATCTAAAACTTGAAGAACCAAAACTGTTACGTGAAAATTTGACACTAAAATCAATCTTGGTGTTATATTATCCATTTTTATTACAAGAATGTAATAAATAATACTGGGTAGAAACAAAAATATGAAAAACATAATACAAAAAAATAAGATTTGATGTTGGATTAAAGATGCTAAAGCCTTATTTTCGAAAGTCTAAACCATATGTTTACATACAGGAACAAAAGTATACAATATCCGTAAAATAAAAATAAAAAACAAAAAAATATTCATATTCATATTTAGTCTTAAATTTAAATGCACCAAAATTATAGTTTTGAGAAAGGAAAGGGAGCTAAAGTGTCAATTCCTTAAACTTTGGGCATGTAACGTAACGGCGTCGTTGCCGCCGTACTCGCAGATGATTTGCAACTCAGAAACCCGAGTACTCTCCCCGAACATCTCCGGTAATCATCACTTTGGCTAACCGGAAGTGCATCACAGGATTCTGTAGAAGGAAAAAGTGGCTTCGAAGGAGTCCGGCGAACCTGCCGGCTCTTCATGTCCCGAAGATCCATCTCCGGCGGCGGCACCTTCACTAAGCCAAACAAAAGAACGTACCACCGTGAAGAAGAAGATTTCTTTCCCGAACCGTCACGAAGAATCTCCGGCGCTGGTTCAGAACTCATACTTGAGTTCCTGTGCAACGTCTTGTAATCCAATGACCGGCTGTTTCTAACGGGTGGACTCACGGTGGTGCTTTTGACCGCTGACAGTGACTCCGACCGCCGGCAACCTGGAGGTTGTTCTTGTTTCTTTCTCCGGTGAGATTTCTCTTTTTGCGGTGGTGGATTTTTGGGGTGGCGTTGTTCGTCTATGGGAATAAGTTTACCGCAGAATATGATGTCTTCTGCATGAGACATCATGTTTTTGTCGGAGTAATCACTCAACCCTTCCCGGAAAAACTCAAAAAATTCATCTGTTGCTAATGATGGTGGATTCCGTTGATCTTTAAAGCTGGAGACCCCAAGATCTTGTGTTACTGGGAAATCGGTGAGGGAAAGTGTTTCCACTTCGGCTTCGGCTTCTGCTTCTTGATCATTTTGAAGATTGTTATGGATAATTTCGTCACCCATTTCACACAGTAATATGGTGTTTGTGTGTATTTAGAGAGAAAGTGTATGGAGATTGTGAAATGGAATTGATAAAGAACAGAAAAAGAAATATAAAGGGGTGTGGATGGAGGACGAAAACAAAAGAGGGTTATTCTACAAACTTTCCATTTTGAAAATTCATATTTTTTATATTATTGATAAAAATTGAATACTTACGGTTTTGATTTAAGTTTTATTTATTTAAATTAATGGAATATGTATACAACATAAGTTCAAAAAGATAACCTAGAAAATGCTGAATATTCACTGTATTTTTTTTTATCAAATCTAATATATTTCTAAACTATTTATTCTATTTATTAGGTTACAATCCGTTAAAACTACGGATAAAAAATTTAGAAAAAAGATAAAATTTTAAAGCTCTTAAAACAATTTTTTTTGTTCTTTTTATATAATTATAACAACTCTTTTTAGGATTGATAAAAAAACATCAATTTTATGTAACCGTTTAAATATTAATTAAAAATAACGATCGTAGACATACAAACAAACATCTAATGTATATAAATATAACTCTTCGCAAAATTTTGATATTAATGATTACTTTGATTACCAAAACAATAACCAGGTGGCAAATTCTAAAACAATGAAACGACATTGCCCTTTCATGGAAAAACCCATACCAAGTGACAGAAAACCAAAAAACAAAATCAAAATACGCTGTCATTTCATTCAAAAACACCATAGAGGTGACAAAGAACCAATATATATATATATATATATATATATATATATATATATATATATATATATATATATATATATATAGAAATGGTGCCTGTGTAAAAGATCATATAAATGGTTCGTGTTTAAAGATCGTATTTATATATACTATTATGGTGGCGAAGATGAGAATGAAAAAACAACACTAATGAACATGATGGTGAAGTTTATGCTGAAAATGCCACAAGATGAATGTATATACATGAGGATCCGTATAATTTACAACTTTCATCTTCTCTCTTTCCACATTTCTTCCTTATCTTCATCTTTTCGTTAACAATGAGAAAATCATCATATCGTCAAAAATAATAAAAAAAATCCTATATGAAAAAAATACAAATATGTATAGTGAATGAACCAACATATTAGCTTATCAGTAATGGCCGAAATATTAGAGGATGTTTTGGGAAGAAATTACCTGTCAAGCATCTCCAAAGGGTGAACCTCCTGTAATAACCAGCAAGGCTCAAGAATTGCCTGATCTCCGTTGGTGTTCTCGGGGTTGCCCAGCCCTCAATTGCCTTGATCTTGGAAGGGTCCACATATATCCCTTCTTCACTTACAGGGAAAATTCTACTTTGAAAAGGGGTTTTACTTCTAAATTAAACGAGTTTATGTCGATTTAAACTTACATGAATTACTTTAAGTATGGAAACACATTACCATTATGAACATTATAAGTACAAAACACACACATATTCTAGGTCCTGGGATTTAGGACTACATGACTTTTATAAGGAAAATATTGGATTTTCTTTGGAAACACATTACCATTATGAACATTATAAGTACAAAACACACACATATTCTCGGTCCTGGGATTTAGGACTACATGACTTTTATAAGGAAAATATTGGATTTTCTTTGGAAACACATTACCATTATGAACATTATAAGTACAAAACACACACATATTCTCGGTCCTGGGATTTAGGACTATATGACTTTTATAAGGAAAATATTGGATTTTATGGAATCATACTCTATCGTATTTACAAGGAAAACGGCTTTTTCCTCAAACAAAACTCTTATGAACTCACCAACTTAATTGTTGACACACTCTTTCAAAACTACTTGTATTCTCAGGAAATCAGTGAAACAGGAAATCAACAGCATTTTTAGGATGGGACGTTAAATCGTCAAACAGTTCATTTTGTCATCATAATGTAATTGATTTGGAAACATGTAAACATATACTATGGTGTAACCTTTTCAATTATATTTATGATGATTGTATTTACTTTGAGCACTATTATAATCGTTGTTGTGATACTATACATGAAGTCCTCCACCCCCGGACGTTTCCGCCATCCTTGGTTTGGGGGTGTGACAGATTGGTATCAGAGCACTGTTTATAGTGAACTAAGTATATCGAACCACATAAGATATACAAACTATAAATGCATTGGGACTAAAGTCTCTGATTAAACATTTTCAAAAGACTATACTTTTAGAAATAAATAGTTTCTTGTTAAAGGTATACATGCATGCATACATACTAAGGTCAGCATCATTCTAGAACAAAACAAAAGTGGTGATTGTTGAACGGCACAAGTAGGCTTGGGGATGTATAGTCAGGTCTGGGAATGACATAGCCTGATCAACTATGTCTAACCCAGAAGTGATTAGCATATGCCCGAGAATGGTTGTGGTGTTGCAACAAGTCTAAAAACTTACCAATTCTATCTACAAAGAAACATCAAAAACATAAGACAAACATTAAAATACTATAGGAGTATTTGGTGATACTATAACCAACTTATGTGAAAACTAAAGATCCCTATTAGTAGGTCTATAATGACTGAGTGCATACGCTAAGGTTATACATAATTAAAGATATTATAGACTCAGAATCTATGACTATTGCTTTATTTTCTGTTCCTTGTTTGGTTGTGGACTTAGAGTAGAGTCATTTATTTGAAGGTCTATTCTATCTCAGATTATGTATAACTGGTATGCACTATGTGATTATAGACGTGACTAATAAGGATCACCCCCTATAAGTAATTATAGGATTAGACATCTATTAATTATCTCTTCTACCTCTCCTATTCTCGCACGTATAACATAGCAAGATTCTACTTACCAAGCGACCCCTACTTTCCCAATCAGGGAAATGGTGGATGGTTATGAGAAGAATCAGAAGAGGAACCGGAGGTGACCAACCCTCCATGCATAGCTAGGGTTCCCGCGAACCGTTTCGACTACATCGGACCTGTGCCCCGTTGGGCAACCGTGATCGAGGGTTGGAGTCGACAACAATGACAACAATCACCATTTAGAGACCAACGAGGTTGCTATGACCTCAACCACGGGGGACCAACTGACAGAGCCCTCTCGGCAAAGACCCGACAGATCGCGAACATCGGGGATTAAAACAGGGAGACTGCAAACCGAGTTCGGAAACTACGCGCTACTACAGACCCTACCATCTCACGTACCCGAGACTTGGAAAGAGACTGCTATTTCAGAGACCAACTTTCTTTTTGGTACCTTATCGCCGCTCGGGCAGAGGCAAAAGAGTAACAGGATAGACACACGACATTCAAAGAGAGAATGGTTGCAGCCAAGCGTCGATTGGCAGAGCTGCAAGGTGCATCGACTTTGCCTCAGGCATCGCAAGGGACGGATCGTCATGAGTAAAGTTCATACTGCTCACAAGACCTTGTAGATTAGGTTCATGAGTATGCGTTGGTGCTACTCTATTCTATGTGTAAGCTCAACACTGCGATTTTAGCGGTTATACTAATCGGGGGATCTATTTGCTGTCAAAACTTTTTCCTTACATGGATGTGAGGTAGACCTGCATCGAGGTCAAAATTTTCTCTGAGACCATAATTACTAGAATCATATTAACAAGATGGGCTTAGGACATACCTAACAGACTCGAAGGTCTATTTAGTCTTAATTATATAACTAAGCATACATCAATTGGTCGTAAGAAGGACCTAGCTTGAATCAAATTACAAGGTTTCACTTGGATACAGAACTACTAAGAACTCATAAGTTTATTATGTATAGACTCTCATTATGAATTGCTTTCAGAACACCATAAACACCGGAATACATTACAATTTGAACTAAGATAAACTTAGTTAGAAAACTCGCGATGTATAGCCATTCTAAAAACTCATTATCATCTCACCTTTAAATATTTTGGTTGAAAGGTGCCTTCTTCGTAGACCTATAGGGTGCGATCATACCAGCACTAATGCACCGGATCCCATCAGAACTCCTCAGCTAAGTGTGTTGGGCAAGGATAGTAACTTGGATGAGTAAATTTAACATTCGTACAAAACCTACTTCTACCCATTTCCGTAACTCCATCTCAGGAGTGTTTAGCAGAAACACTAAGAATAGTACAGCAATGTGCAAAATTTATATATGTGAATATAAATCGTAAGAATGCAATTGAGATGATCATCCCCACTCACGAAGTCGTTTTTCATCATGAAACAGAACTATGTCTTCACCAAGAGGCAACCAACCAACTAGCAAGGCGCCAACCCTGCAGATAGACTCTGCTACTTTTCAAGCTGCAGTCACGGCAGCCGTGACAGCCGCCATGGCGCAAATCAATGCTAACAATGCCAGCGGAGGTGGAAGCGATGCCGGAAATACTAATTTTGCAACAATAAGGGACACCGGCGAGTGTCTACCAACAAAGACACCTCCGACCACAAACCTAAGAGTAATAAACGAAAGTTTTGGAACAAAAAGGAGTGCAACCTATCTCAAAGATTCGCTAAAAGACAACAACCCATGGCCACCCCTGCCATTACAACAGCAGTCACGGCACATGCCGCGACACTAGCCACAAGGTCTGTCACCCAAGCACCGGCCAGACCATATAATGGATCACTCCCAAAGTGTAACAAGTGTGGCTTCCATCACAATGGGGTTTGCCGGGTGATGCACTGTAAAAACTGCAACGAGAACGGACATACTGCCCGTTTCTGCAGAAACCAGACCCAGCACCTCGCTTCAACCACCAACACCAGGGTAGGCCCAGTATGCTACCTATGCGGTGAAACGGGACACTTCAAAAGAGACTGTCCAACTGAGAAGAATGACGGGGGAGCAGGAGGAGTGTGACGAACAAACCAACAGGAGCAACAAGGGAACCCTATTAGGACTTTTATAATGTTTCCAACGACAAAAACGTTTGAGTTCCATATGTTTGTAATGAATTTGGTATGTAGCTAAAATTACCGTCTTTCAAAAAGTAGTTAAAATAC